GCCTCCTACCGTTATCTCGAAGTCCTAAACAGCAATCGGTAAATTACACCTACCGATCAGCAACCATACCATACGTTAGCACACTAGTAGTGGTACGATATCCTCAGGGAACCTTTAGTCAGCTCCTGCATATCGGTCCCGAGACTCTCTCACTCAAACCGACCAACACCGGGCGCCCTATGAACTGAAATACCTTAACGGTAGTGTTGCTCGCGCCGGGGGGTCATTACAGAGAGTCGGCGAAGTGAGTGACAGGGTGTCGATAGCTGGGTAAGGGTTTATGTATGACGCGCTGAATTTTCATCCAAGCAATAATGGAAAGCGATTCCGCAGCTCTTCTTGAGGAGGCAATGGACAACGTTCTAAGTTACCTTCTGAGTACAGAGAATCGCTTGCAGTCGAGCGTGTGGCCCGCAGTGATGGTTTCTCCCAGAACAATGCACTGGTCCCCCACATGACCCCCTGCCGTCCCCTGGTACCATTTCCCCCCACTCTGCTCTACCGGTATTCTTCCATCTTTCTCTACTTTAATTCCTCTCTTTACTTGAACCAAACGACCGCTCTATCCTTTTCATTCAAGTTAGTAACAATCGGTGCATTGAGTACCCTTCCGACCACTTCAGAGGGAATATTACTAAGCATGACACCCCCATCATGATACCTGTACCGGTATGAGGGGGCTTCGTAACTTAAAGTCCAAAGTGACACCCGTCACCAACTAACCCCGAAGTGACACCCTGTCGCGAGCAGCACTGGCCCCAACGCGCAGGGGATGTGTAGGGGAACGGTAGTGCCGGCCTTCAGATGCAAACTCAAAGCCTATCTTGTCAAGCAAGCAGACCAATGCCGATCTACCGTAATCAGGCGAGCCCTTCTCGCGATAACTGTACAAGTAGTTGTATCAATAGAATACAGTACTGTACGGGTACCGGTATGCTATCAGGGTTTTGTTGCAGGCGATTGCTCCGAACCCCCGAAACCCTTTCCACTTCATCAGCAAACCGAACCTAACCTCGCATAATACCGACCCTTTTTTTCTTCTTCGTGTAGCAGTAGACACAAAAAAGTATGATGCGACGGTAGGCCATGATGCCTCGGCATAAATTGGTGTGCCCACTCTCTCCAAAGTTTCCCTCCTGCCGTTCCCCGCCAATACCGTACTCACTTTATCGAAAGAAAAAAAAATTGATGTTGGGCCCCCCCACCCCTGGCCCGTTCATTGTTGGATTTGGTGTGGTGAGGGTCAATTTCAGACGCCCGGCACCGTACATTCGGGAATCTAAAAGATAACCCCGCTTGTTGGACGCACCCCCAACCAGTTACCGGTAAGCTCGACTGTAACCATCATACGATATTTATGTCACCCCCGGTAACCCCCGCAAGCCGCCAGCCGCCAGCCAGATTCCATTCCGAAAACCCTGCAATGGCCCGAGACAGTGCTGAGTATTATTCGGGATATCCCGAATGGCGATGTGATACGCAACCACGCCTGGGACTGTACTCGAGTGCTTGTACTGTACTTGGGTATGTACCATACAGTACAGTATACCAGCACCTCTCGACTGGAGCAAACACGACAGAGACTCCGCGGTGGAAGCATCCAGAGCCTTCCTTGGCTACCGGTATCTTATCTTACCCTTGCCAAGCCCCGCAGCATCTGCTCGTAGACGACAGTTTGACCCCAGAATGACAGCAATTTCGACAAATTTGATCCCCCCCTGGCAACTTCTATCCACCACAGAATTATTTTTTTTTCAACAAGGATTATTTTTGGATCGTCCTCTCTGGCACCGAAACTAGAAAGATGCAGAAATGTCTGGCCCGCCAAAATCGAGGAACTACTCCTAGAGTTCAAGGCTGGCATAGCAACGCCGGCCAATCAAGTCACCTATCAGTTTGGGAAACCTCACGAAGTCTGACCTAGGGCCCATCCGCAGCAGAAGTGAAAAATCCCATCCACCTCCAAATCCCTTATCACTTAGCGCCCCTAGTATACTCGGGTACAGATACTCGAGCACTAGCGCATCCACCAGAGCCTCTCCGGTACGGCAGATTGATTTATAGTTTTGTGGCACGAGGAAACCACAAGCCACTGGGCATCCCTCTCACTCTGACCGCCAAACTTGAACGGGGAAGTTTCCTGTGGTAAATTTAATAAAAACCTTGCAGCTGAAGAGATCAGCGGATGATTTCCTCATAGAAAATCGACCAGGTAAGCATATGCCCGAGTGGGGGTGGGTGGCTTGTGGTTTCGTCTATTTCCATTCCCCGGTCGGGCCAGTAGAACTGTCCCTACAGTGCAGTATCATAGGGATTTTGCTTTTTGAGAAGCCAGCCACAGGCCAAGAAAAAAAAAACAATCGTCATGGCCTACCTGGCGGTTCAACACTTGACGGAGCTTTTATTCTTTTAACTCCGGGGTATGATACATGGGGTGCTCCTAGCGTACCGTGCTCGAGTGTTTGGTTTCAAAGGCAATCCTGGCTAACGCTGACGGCAGGGCTTCGGTAGACGCAGATAATCCATGGTGAGCCCTAAATCTACGAGTACTGGCGAAATCGAAGGCGATGAAAATGTGTGGTGGCGATGAAGTTTTGGCTTTCCAATACTCAGCCGCCACTCAGGGATCAAGCATTGGGAAAGATTGAACAAATAAGAAGGGGAGGACAACACTTCCAGGCAGGGGGCTGAGTCTCGTCTCCACTCGGAAATCGATACTGGACCGTGGTTTGAATATTTGCCGACTGCTAGAGACTCTACCAATGCCGGTAAGGGCGTCTTTCTTTCCTTCTTTTTTTTTCTTCCCTCCTCTTTACGAGTAAGAGAGGTTCCCCATCATACCACCCATTTAGCTCCCCCAAAGCCTGTGAGAAGAGGATGAATCATTAAAACACCTTAGCCCCGCCGTTAAATCTCACCTTTTGTTGAAAATTTTCGATCCGCGGAATGTGAAGTGGCTTTAAAACTCGTCCTTGTCTGCTCTACTGTAGAAGTTTCCGACAAAAGAAAGTGGACCAAACTGCTGGGGCCAAACTCCTCTCAATGATGTGAGTGATTCCCCGAATGTCTCTCTGCCCCATCGGTGCCCAAGCGGAGGCGATAGAAGCCAAAGTACCGCTATCATACGGAAGGAGGAGCCCATGGGGTTTTGGCCGGGGAAGGGGTTCATGTTTTTCGACACCCATTCTGTATTGATGTGTTCTAGGCCCTGGGCCTGATGGATGTAAGGCAATAGAACCTTCCATTCCAGCCAATCGGTTTGGCTCACTTGGCCCCCGCCTTCATGCATTTGGGAAGGTAAGCTTAGCTGTGGTGATTCGTGAATGGCCAGCGCCATAAAGTCAACGGAATCGTAAGGGATCGCAATCGCACATGCCGTGCGTGCAGAGTATGTGTCTTAGGAGTTGTCGATTTAAGTTAAGATGTTTGCGGGAAGGGATGGTGGGTGGAGGGGAGAAAATGGAAGTGAATTAGTGGCGAGAGAGAAAAGAAAAAGGAGAAACAAACATAGCTTCGGGTAACATGACATCCTATCTCGAGAACCCAGATGAGTGCCGATCCAGACACAAGCATGGAAATATCATGCAAGTAACGATGAGGGTAACAGGAAGCATCGGGGGCCCCGGTAGCCAAATAGCACTGTATTTTCGGCACTGTGCCAGCACGATGGTTCTGTAAAGAGCTTTGCGGCGAGCTACCAATAATATCATGCAGGCGCAACAACAACCAATTCACCTCTTCCCTTTTGAATGATAGCAGGGTAAGGGACACGGAGGCCTGAACCTTTCCGGTAACAATGCTTGTAACAATACAAATATGATACCGTATTGTGATGGGAGCTTCAAGATTTTCGGTACGGGGACGGTGCTGCACCCTTGTTCTCCCCGGATAAACAGGGCGGTGAATCAAGGCCAGAGCTCCTCGAGCACAGCACCGGTAGGGGTACAATATGGAATGCCAGTATGATAGTAATTTCATGATAGGAGTGAGGCAGGTTCGGTGCCCTGCCATATGGTATGGCATGTACGGCAATCGGAAGAAGGATACGGTATGAAGATGGGTCCAGGACACAGAGGCGAGCGCGCAACCGGCAATCAAAGGAGGTATTGAGGGTCACCAGAACAGCCTTTAAACACATATACTGTACATACAAGTGCTGTACCGCACTTGTGTGTAATTCTAAGAATGGCTACTGCACGGATCCTGGTTGATAGTTCCACAAAATCATGCCGAATGGCTGGAAGGTGGAAACTAACACAAAGTCGCAAGTTTGTCTCTGCTTCTCACATCCTCTCCTACCGGTACTGTATCCCCCCGCCCCCTCCCCCCCTCCCCCCTTCCCTCTTGCCTCTCTGTCCTACCAGTAGTTTGTCTTACTCTGTCTGCCTCCCTTTCCCTCATCGATGCGGATCAAGTTCTTGTCACTCCTTACAGTCTAGATCGGTCTGACTTTCAACATCTAGCACGCACACATGCAAGAAGACACAACTGCGTCTAGATACCATACGCACAGTGCCGGTACTATACACGGACACACTAAGACAAGGGCACAAGTCACAGATAGGGGACAGACGGGCGGGCAGAGGGGCAACCAGTTGGGCGGATAGACGCACGACAGAACACTCGAACCACACCGCACAGTTCCGCAAGCATTCAACTCATTCATTTACGAGCCCGCACACGCATTATTCACCCATCACACTTTATACGATCACGATACGGCACCACACAATTCGATACTTCTTCCATTACCCGTCCGCCTGCTCACCTCCTGCAAAACCACGTTTTTGTTGTTCTCGCCCTCGCTACAATCTCTCTCCCGTTCTGCTAGCCACTAATAGCTACCCTGTTCTCACCAAGGTGTCGCTAACCTGGTCCTGTGCGTTTGAACCCCCTGCAACCCTTTGCTCTTGCCTTTCGTCATCCGCCTCTAGTCGACGGCCGTCCATACCCACCACCACCCCCCCCCCCCCGCAGACACCCATAAACTTGACCAACTCGACCATCCCATTCCATCGCAATAAAGCCTACCTACTCTTCCATTCATTTCACCTTCTCTCCTGTTCGCAATACTCCCAGCTCGACTTTCTCCCGTCATCTCCCGCCTAGCGTCAAGAAACTAATTATTGAGCGTCTCAATGGCAGGAGATGTCACCCCCGGGGGTGCCCAAAAGAAGCCTCCACGAAATAAAAAATCAGCTGCGTCGCCACCGACTCCCCGCTGTGATCATGTGTTACAATTCTACGAGGCGGACAGTTACCTATACAGTGCCATCTCAAGTTTCATTCTTCCCACATTTTTCAGTACAGAGAGTGCGTCGGTAATTATTGCCACAAGGACCCATTTAGACGCTCTAGAGGTGAATTTGAGAGAACAGAATCTGGTTCCGGGACAACTAAAGGACCGCGGTCAACTGATACTTCTTGATGCCGACGACATTTTGTCGGTTATTATGCCCGGTGGATCGCTTGACATAGATTTATTCGACCAATATCTTAGGAAAATATTTCCCGATGTTCAGTCCAAATTTCCCAAAGTCCGGGTCTATGGCGAGCTTGTTAACATTCTTTGCGAGCAAGGGAACTACGAGCTCGCTAGGCAATTAGAAGTTTCTTGGGAGCTCTTCCTGTCCGAGCCGGATCAGAACGTTGCTCTGCTTTGCGGCTACAACATGGGCGTATTCGAGGCGGAGGGGCTCAGCGAGGTTTTTCAGCAAATATGCTTGAACCATTCCAAGGTCGAGCCAACCGAGAAGGAGTATCCGACTTTAGGACATTCTAACAACCAAAAGACCGCGGTGGCAATGCTACAGCAAAAAACCAGGTGTTTAGAGGCAGAGATAAATCGGCGGAAAATGTCAGAAGCCGCATTTCAAATGATATTCGACCATTTCTCTTCCGGTTCCCGAGCGTCGGACAAATCTTATGAAGTAGACGGAGGTTATGTAGCGCATCCGATAGGGATATGCGGTCGAATACTGCACGAAGGACGGATCCGGTACTTTGCGAATGACCGCTTCTGTCAGATTTCCGGATTGGCTGAAGCCACAATACATCGGGACGGAAACTGGCTAAACGCTGTCCATCATTTTGACCGCGAAAAAGTATCTAGGTGTTTCTCTCTTGAGGATGGCAGGATGAGGAAGGTGGAGTACCGCTTCGTTCATCCTAGTGGCGATGTCCGCTGGGTTTCGGCCGAGTTCACCGTGACCTTGTCCGGATACACCCATTCGGTGGTGGACATCACCGGAATCAAGGAAGCTGTAGCCCAACGGCGGAAAAGATCTGACAACATTGGTGAGATGTGTAGCTCTCATCACGGCGAGCGGAGGATCATGCAAAATCTTGTGGGGGAAGGGCAGCAACGACCAATTCCTGATTCAGTACTTCGATGGGACAGAGGGCACTCGAGCAATCACTCCCCTAATAGGAATGTGAGTTCTTCCGCTCAAAGCCGCATTTTTCGTCTGTGCTAAATCCCCATACAGTCATCATTTCTTGATACGAACCAGAAAGCTTTGGCAGAACGTACACAAGCAGAGGTAGAAAAGATATCGAAAATATTCTCTCAAATAACGAAGGAAGAAGCCACACTACAAAACTCAATCGGTTCCGCCGCTATATCCAAAACGGTGGACGAACTCCGGGTCTGGCAGGATAATTTACCGGGCGGTTTCACCATCCCAGCAGTCATCAATGATCACTCGTTACACCCAGTACTCCGATCTGGGCTTCTACTGGGCCATTGCACGTATTTCAGATCGATTCTGGCTGTTACCCGAAGAACCTTGGTTAGAGCAGCCACGCAGGCAGCGAAGTCAACGTACCCTATTGATCCGTCATCGTTTGAGGTGCGCTATGGCAATAAGTGCATTGGCGCAGCTCGAGCCATATGTCGAGTTCACGATTTACTGGCGTCTGAAGATACGGCACATGCTCAGAAGTCTTGGTTAACAGTGTTTGTTCCCCGGACCCTTTTGCGGATCGCGAACTAACGGGATCAACAGCAGCTCGTATTTCATTGCTTGCCTAATCGTCTTTCTCGACACCTCCCTTAATCCGCCAGAAGCCCCAGCCGACGACATTAAACTCATAATCCCTCGTTGTATGGATACAATACGTAATTCCGCAAACACAAGCTCATGCTCGAAGCGGTACATAGAGACTCTGGATCCTCTCTGGATCGCGCTCAAGCCGCCAATACCACATGGGGGGTCCTCCCCAAGGAAGCCTAGTATCACGCCACCTGAAGACTGGGCAAACCTAGAAGTGACGACAAAGTGGACCCAAGGGCGAGGCACGGCTATTACTAACGACATCTTGGACATCTTGATGTCGCCGTGGGTGTCGGAGGATGCAGAGTGGGCAGCTACAGGTCACGATTGGAGATTTTTAGTTCAGCAGCTGAACCAGCCACACATTTCCCCTCGTTCAAGTACGCACATGAGCAGCCCAAACCCAAGCACTCCCCCCGAATACACACCATGGAGCGACCGCTCTTCAAATACGAGGAGGGCGAAAAGGAGCAAAGCTGATGACGAAGGTGTTAATGAACGGTCTTCTACACCTTTGTCTGGTCGCTCAAGACATTCTACTGAGCATGGGGGGGAAGTGTATCGGCGTCGATAGCGGCGCATTTCTCTTTATGTGAAAGGATGGACAGTGTGTATAGTTTTTTATTCCCCACGGTTTCCCGGTCTTCAAACAATTCCTCACTTTTCTTTTTCTTCCTTTTGAAGTCAGCTTGCTTATATATTGCTTTGGGCGTTTGTCTTTTTCGTTTGTATTTCCCCTGGTTAAACTTTTCTCATTCGAAACGCGGGGTTCGGCGCAGGTAGATGGCGAGCATATTTTGCAATATAAAAAAGCTAACATGAGATGGGGGGTTGGGTCTCATTTTTTTATTTTTTATTTTATTTTATTTATTTATTTATTTATGAGTCGTTTTGGCTTGGAATTGAATTATCCTAGCTGCCGCTCGATTTGAGATATGCACGGAATGTGGGCGTGGGTGTGAGCTACCTACAGGCGCACTGCAGTGTACCCTACACCGAGCACATGCTTGCCATCTTGTGATAAGTCGGGCTTTAGAGATAAGATTGAGCGAACGAATGGATCGCAGAATGTCCGGCGTACGGACGTTAACCCACTGAACTATACCCGAATCTCGTATTCCTCCTCCCATAGCCCTCCAGGTCGTTAGTGTGAAGCTAAAGCTCCAGCAACCCACCTTGCTAAATAACTTACCTACCTTCCTTCTTCCTTACCCACATAAAGCGACCTGCAACTAGGGGGCCCGAACAAGCATGCGCATGCACCAGAAACCCCCCCACCCGCCAAGTATCAGGCCACAGTCAAGGTCCCTCCACCACTCGGACCTCGTCCGCGGAATCAGCCTGCAGTGGTGTAGAATACTGGTAGCGAAAAAGAAATCTTGATATACCCTAACCCTCCGCTCTGTAGCATCACACTATGACGGCAATAGTGTCTATTTACCTTAGTGATAATCTGACCGCCTACAAATCACATAGTTACGATATGATACGACACGCATGAGAGAAAGCCAATACCCCATCCTCGCTCCCTCCTTCCCCCTTACCTTTTGTCCGCCACTAACCACCACCTTCCCATATGCAACCCTTCCCGGTATCCCTATTCCGGCACATCAGACCACTATCTTCCGCAAGGTAAACCTCAAGGTCCCACCGCCCCGTGTCTGCACCCCCCTCCCGTTTCCCCTCCCCTTCCCCCCAAACACACAATAGCGTACCCGCCTTTTTCTCCCTCCCTTCGTTATCCCCCAACTTGCTGGAGCTTGTATTAGTGGTATACCATTCCGAGCAGACAGGCTAGCAAATAATAGGTGGGTAGGTAAGTTAGTCACTCCAGTCCAGCATTACTGAGCGGTGCACGAAGAAAGACAAGCAGGAAAGGAAAGAAGCAGAAAGGGGACTCTGCTGTAATGTCAGAGAAATCGCCGATTTATTATTGGTGATCAGATACATCCACATGCCCACACACATGATATCACGTCAATGTGTGCTGGTATCGTAATTGAACACGTATGGTGGGCAGATCCCCAGTGCTTGAAGGGTGGCTCATGGGTCTGATGCGGTGGGCAATGCCAGCCAGTGAAGCACTGATACGGGGCAGCCCACATCTGGTGCCCTACCGGAACTAGAGAAGAAGAATGAGAAGGGGAGTATATGGGGTATCATGACTGGATTCTCCACCACGAAATACAACCAGCTTGAAGACAAGTAAGTGGAAAGTCTGGTGAACACCAACACCCAGTGCCAGTGATTGTCAACATGTTGGTAGGGCCTGGTATCCAGGATACTTGTACACAGGGCGTGGGAACCCTACTACCATATGGTAGTGCTATCAGAGTAGTATGAGAGCCCCACCCCGTGCGAACGAGTGGCCAAATCTCCAGCTCCCTTTGATACACATTTAGATTTGGGGGGGCGGGGCAGCTTAATCTTGAGAAAGCTAGATTGGTGCGGTCAGCCCGGCATAACCCTGACCCGAGCTATCACACACCACCCCAAGGCTTGCTCCTAGTTAACCGTTCGGGCATCAAACTGAGCTGTTTACCCCCAGGGAGATTAGCGGGAGGTGGGGAGGGCGGGGGAAGTATTTTAGGCCACTATGGTGGGTTGGGTTGAGTTAAGCTTCTGCACTGGTTTCACAAAAGCCAGCGCCACCAGCTCAGATTCTCGTGTCATCCTGTCTGATAGTGTGGTCGCGCTGTGCTGCTGCCCTGAATCGCAGAGCTTCGTTTTCGTTCATTCAGCTCTGTTCACAGGTTTCTGATTCTTTCTTTTTTCTTCTTCTCGCGATGTTTACAAGCAACCTTGGCCTCACAGGGGAGCTTCTTGCCTTACGGAGAGCTCAGTTGCTAGGAGTGCAACTACCGGTACTGTACCGTGACGAACGGCTCTAAAGGAAGGAGGAGGATGAGGAAAAACAAAAAATCCCCTCCCTCTGGGGAATGCCCGTTTGTATTCTGTCTTACAAACGCCCTGCCTAGCCTAGCTTGGCGGCCAAATGGGAAAAAGGAAAGAAAAAGAGTTTGATAGAGTGTGACTCTCCAAATGTCTTTCTTCCTTTTCCGCTGTACCCCCCCCTTCCCCCCGCAGGTACAAGTGCCGTATCCCAATACCAGTATGGTTACCTTGGTTTACCCTCATCTGCAGCAGTACTCGTACCGGTACTTCAGCTTCCCATCTTACCGTACCGTATCTTTTTCGTGAGATTCGGACCCGTTCTCCGGGGCGGTTTGCTCGATTGCAATTCGCTATTTGCTTAAAAATGTGGCCATTTGGGGTCGTCTTGCCCTCCAATTGGCTCGGCTGCCCTTGACTCCAATCCGAGTCTTATGAAAGGGTACGATACGATATCGCCTCTCACAAAATATTTACTTCGTCGGAGTACCGTGTGATACTTGAATGTAATGTCATGTCATACCACTCGGCCAAGAAAATAAAATAAATAAATAAACAGAAAGATTCAGGTCCCGTATCACAACCGTGGGCCGTACCATCCCCAGGCGATCACAATGCCGCAACCAGTCGAGACTAGCGTTCTGAAGGGAGCAGGGATGGAGAGGAGGGGGGGAGGGTGGGCGAAAAGAGAGGGCGCAATGGTGAGGGGGAAGGAGATAAATAAGTAATTAAACAGCCAAACAATGCAAGACAAAGGGCTGTGCTCAACTTTTTCCTTTCTTTTTCTTTTTCCTTTTTTTTTCTTACTCCCCTCCCGGTACCGGTACTTGTATGATACTTTATCGATGGATGGATGTGACACGAACCAATGGGAGCAACGGGAGCGCATCTCCAGAGCCAGTTCACTCGCTCGCTCGCTTGCCTCGGCGGACTGGTTAGCAGGGACGTTGGGACGGTGGCTCGGGTTCCGGCAAACCTCCCACACTGCCCAAAGCCCGCACGGTACGCTACCGCACGTACCGCATTGGAAAAGTACATCCCGCGTGCAAGGTGGCAAGTGAACTGTGAGACACAAAGCCTTGTTTCTTTACCTTCACCTTCACGTCGGTTGGAGAGAACTCAGATGATAGATCGGGCAATCATAGCAAGACGAGAGGGAGAAGGGGGTGGAAGTGCCGCCAGACTTGGCGCCCAGCAAAGCAAGTACGGTAATCAATTCAACCACCGCGAGTCGTCTTTTGTTCGTGACCCTATCGGAGGGTCTCTGAACCTCCGGGCCCGCGTCTTTGAGCGGGCTTGGTCTGTGGTTGTGGTGTCGTGCCTTGTCGTGTTTCTCTTGATTTTGTTCAAGGGAATAAATATTTATTCATTTATTTCTACTGAGTCATTATGTATGGGGTACTAGTACAGGACTGCGTGCTGCTTCTCACTTTTTTTTTTCTCCTTTTTCTCCTTTACTCTTTCAGCCTTTCGGGACGTGACACGACACGACGGAATTGATCTGTTTTTGTTCTGCCTCCTGGATTGCAGGACCGGGGACTTTGTGCAGTGAGGCAAGGTAACAGCCGGTGTCAGAGGTGGCCATGACATGCAGAGTGTTTAGGGTTGTGCCACAGCCGACATAGTACCGGCCGGTGTTCCATATTTTCCCGCAAACCTGAGAACCTGAGGAGACGGAGGTGAGAGGGAGGGATGGTGAGGAATTTCCAGGGAGGGCTAGCAAGCCAGGCACGTTGATCTAATGAATTCAGTCGAATTGGCCCGAACTGGATTGATTGACTGCACAGTCCTGTACGAGTACTTCTAGCTCTGCATCAGCGGTATTAGCGGCATTTGTGGAGGGGGGTCACCGAGCAGCTGATATGGGACGATTTTTTCGTTTTCGGTATCATACCGGGGGTTTGAGTTACTTTTTCTTCTATGCATGTTTTTTTTATTTTTTTGCCCATTTTTCGTTATTTACCGTTCCTTGGCCATCGCACCTACTGCGCCAATGTGTTTTTAGTTAGCACAGCCTAATTAAACTTGTATTTGTGCAGGGCCATTCCGAGAGGGCTTTTGCGCGGTCTCCCAGGAAGAGGGGAGGTTGGAGACTTGGGAATTTATTGGCTACGTATGTTCTTCCCGAGATCACGGGATATCACTCACTGGCCAACACCAGGGGGATTACGGGATCTCCATAATATGACATCCCTAATAAAGATCAGTTAGGGGCGTGTCTCAATAAAGTGCAAGATCGATCCCTCTTCCCCCTGATCCTCTCGCGCTGCCTTATCCGTTTTAAAAGAGGTTCATACATCTCAATTCAGCCAGCATATCAATCGGTCAAATGGCACAGCGGGGTCAATAGGGCATGAAGAATGGAGCGGAGAGGATGGGCCAGCTGGCTGGCTGTCCGGCTATCCACGCCATTTCTAGGCCCATGCTTACCTCCGACTCCATGCACCCCACATTTTTAACCCCCCACATCCAATATAGCAAAATGTAGTGAGCACGTACCCACGTTCGCAGCTTTCCCACCCCTGAGGCACCGCAGAACAAAACACACAAAAGTAGCTACTCACAGTTCCCACTGTCGTCAGAGCCTAAGGCTTGTTATAATATACAGCAACCCGAATCCCATCCTCGCATCGGGGCTAAAGATACACCCCTTGTCCCACAAACCCTCACCGTTTAACCCTAGAAGTTTCCGCAAAGGGATGTTTCTCATTCACACAACCAAAAAGTAAACCTGAATGAACGCGTAATGGCATCACCGCCAAATGTGCCTTTTTGCGTGTCATAGCTCGTTCTGAATTGTCCCCCCTACCTGTAATGTGGACTTATCAGGGTGGGTTACTGATCAACCTTTCCTCTGCATGAATGGGTAAAGACCCAGGGTGTGTTACCGGGCCCCGTAGCACAATCCATTTGCTGCCGCCGGTCAGTCAATAGATTTGTGGTTCCCGGAGGGTAAATTGGGAGAGTGGCACGGGTAGTGCTTCTTCTGAATCGGGGGTCGCGATTTCGGTAGGGGTGGTAGGGACCTGTTTTCGATCGCCGGTGAGGATGGAAGGTGGGAGGACTTTCTGTTTACATTGTAATTGTAATAATATTGGTGGCTGTTATTGGACCGGAGGAATGGGGGAACCGGGCTTGGTGGGGGGGGGGGGGGGGGTGCTAAGTTAATGACCGAGCGACCGAGTGGGATGGACCGTGTAGTGCGCTTAGTGTCGCACTTGGGTTTGTATGTGTCGCGTTGCAAATGAAGTTGTGACAGAGCTGTTCACGCAGGATCACTCGGTGAACCCTGCCGCGCGAGAGGGGTCTGTTGTCTTGAGGGGTTGAAGGCTGTTGTTTGTCTGAGCTCCGTAAGTTAGACTTGTAAGAGTAGGTTTGTCACGCCCGGTAGGTATCGCCATCCGGTCTGTGGTAGAGAGTGATTTTTTACTGCACCCATGTCAGAGGAGGGCATTGGTTCGGCACTTAGGCTTGCCTAGTCAGCCGAGCACTGAATACAACACCTTCCAAATCTCCGTTTTCGATATATCTACCGATTGCACCTCCGCTGCTGAAACTGCGTTGCCGATAATACTTCTATAAGCTGACACCTAGAGGATAGGCTAGGTAAAATATCACATGGGGAGCAGCACTACAACACATTCACTCCAAATCTGCGCAAGGCTGGCGGGGCAGGGTGCCGTGGCACCTTTTCTGGGGGGGGGCATTAATAAAGGCCGCAATATAGCAGCGACATTCGGTAGAAACCCCAAACTCGGGGAGCCGGCATAGGTGCAGCCAGTAAGGGACGCTCCGTCCTGTACGCCCGGTATTCAGGATATGCTACACTATTGCAAGTGCATGTATAGCACAGCATTAAAGTTTACTGATACTGGCTGCCAGCAGTGCGGAGATGTTGTGTCAAGAGAGGCCAATTCAATCTCGGTTCTCTGCAAACTCACCCTTGGCAAACCTTGGATAAGACGCGTTCCTGTTTTACCTGCATTATGCAGCACTGTAGCCCTATTCGCGATTTCGGGGAGTATCCTGACGGAAGTTCCGAGAACTGTTGTTTTTACCCCTACATTCCGGGATCTTGGCACTTATCTGTTTCCGGATGCTCACCAATTGGCTGGTATCCCAGCCCATCAGCCATTGACAAATGGCAAGTGGAATCGGGAAGTGAGACCATAGTTCGCAGATTGCTGCCCCCCTCCCCAAGCAGTTAGTTAGCCGACATGACAGAAAGTGATTTAACCGGGGCTCTATGCTGCACAGGTGAAGCCATACCATGCATCAGCAGTAGGGTTATGGGATACTATGCTGCATGTCTAAGTGCTGTGTTAGAGGGTGCGTATTAGCCAGGCGTGCATCAACAAATCCCAGTAAAAATAGCCTATTTCTCTTACCACCTGGCTCCCTTCAAAGCTATTCCAATGCCTAAGAAGGCTATTCACAAAACCTACATTGTCAATTCGCCCCCGGGGGGGTTTTTTTTTTTTCAAGGGAGACAGAACCGGCAATGCATATTTCGAGACACCCATCCGAGAAAGTGAATAATGCGAGAAAAACGCATGACCACCTCCTAGACATGAGGCATAATGCATAGACTATGAATAGCTTTCCCGAAATCCCCTTGTACATCCCCCTCCCTCCCCTCCCCAAGTGCTCATATTCCTGGATCGAATTACGGCAACTTGGTTCCCGATGATGGATAAAACATTGGTATGTAAGGGGGGGGGGAACGGGAGCGTGTCCTGCCGTCAGCCGACACAAGTCGCACACCTCCCCATTCATCGCCTGTGTGCCCTAGATGTGGATCGTGCCCGGGCCATTGGTTGAGTGACTCGAATTTGGAACGCATTGGGACGGGGTTTTTTGCGTAATACGGTGTGTTCTACTGGCATACCTTGTGCGAGTGTTTCTTCTGCGGGATTATTATGCTAGATTACAGTTATGCAGGATGTATCCGCAAGTGGTTTGTACAGTATGAATATGTGCAACTGGGGAAATGATCTGGTCACCGGGGTTTTATGATACGCTGCTAGTGATAGAGTGAAGATCTGATCACTGATAAGATAAGATAAGATTGACGATCAGAATCAAAACCAAGATAATCTAATCTCCATTGATTCCCCAGAGATCTACCCCGGTCCCGAGGGTGGCATGCAAACGAGCCGAGGCACAGTACGGTAACTTAGGTCGTTTCCTGATTTAAGCTCTTTCTGCTTCACTGCAACTGTTCATTCATTCAACAATCATCTCCTAAAGCCATCCCAAACAACTGGGCGAACCTTCACCAATACCGCGTCAACTACCCCTAGCAGCATCTATGATACGATCGAGAGTATGAAACCAATACGTCCGCCACTGCTCTTGAAGAGCAGAATAGCCCCGCCGTCCCCCTCCCGTGTCATATCTACAACCACGAGCAATGTGCGACCAAAGACGGCAATATTCTTCCCCGGTTTGCCTTCATCCCGGCCATCCCCCAATGCGGAAGGAGATTAAGAAAGGCTAATGATACCAGGCCAAGGTTCACAAAAGCCGGGAATGCTGACCCCTCTCACGAAAGCCTTCCCGAGGACCGTCATCCCACTTTTGGACCAACTCGACGACTTCTTGCCCGGCCTGCGCCCCGTGCTTTTTGACGGCCCAAGCACATATCTAACCGAGACGCCCAACGCCCAGCCCGCAATTCTCATCTCGTCCATTGCCATCCTCCGCGTGCTCGAGAAAGACTTCGGTGTCGATCCCGCAAAGTTCGACTACTTCTTCGGCCACTCCCTAGGAGAATTCACAGCGCTCGTCGCAGCCGGAATAATCTCCCTGCAAGACGCACTCCAGCTTGTCCGCCAACGCGGGGTGAGCATGGCTGCAGTGACAGCAAAAAGCGAAAGTGAAGTGGGCATGTTTGCGCTCATCGTGGAAAGGGGTCAGGTGAAAAACCTTGAGCAGCAGATCAGGGAATTCATCGACAGCGAAGCGCTCGGCGAGGACGAGTTCCTCAGCATCGCCAACGTCAATTCTTCGACGCAATTGGTCATCAGCGGCCATGTGAGCGCCATCATGAATTGTGTCAATCAGATACGAAAGTTCAAGGGCAATGATCCGAGGGCTGTCAGGCTGAATGTTTCAGCACCGTTTCACTCTGGAATCATGGCGCCGGCAATGTCGGTTGTTCGTAGGATGTTGCGAGAGATTGATATGAATGAGGATAATGTTAGCAAAGTCGTTTCTAATGTCAGCGGACGGCCGTATAGGCATTTAATAGAGATGCAAGAGAATCTTTCACGGCAGTGTGTTGAGACTGTGCGATGGAAGGATAGTGTCGAGTGGTTGGAGAAGAAATGTGGGGTGGATAGGTGGGTAGGTATTGGCCCGGGCAGGGTGCAGACTAATCTCGTGGGGCAGGAAGTGAAGGGCGGGAGGGGGAGTGTTGTCGCGGTGGAGGGTATGGATGTCCAGGGGATGGAAGATGCTGCGAAGGCTCTCGGTGACCTGTAGGGGTCAGTGTATGGGGTAGGGGTTGGATACCTTCGGGATATACGGCACTGAGGCGTTAAGATTACAGGATTCTATCATAAGATGGTCAGGTTAAAGCAAAATGTATAATAGCTAAGACTTCAGTGTTTTTTTGTGTAATTCCCTTAATAATACCCTCTCGTACAAATGGCTCCCCTAGCTGGAAGAAGGCAGTGACTTATAGGTTTCGGCTATTGAGATAATGTAATTCACGTGATATCACTCGATATTCCTGAACCTTATTGTCGTATCCAACGGGCACCGCTATTCGAGCGCATACCTCCATCTCACGGAACACATGATTTGGTATCTCATGAAGTTTTGCATCTGAGGCATATACTTGGAAAGCCCCCGTGGATGTGCTCAGGAACCACTTAACGTTACTGGGGTTGGAGGTATTAGTTATGGCGCATCAATACATACAGTGAGTGCAACGTGCTTGGCCAAATCCATGGGCGTTATCCATAAGCCTTTATCGCATTTCCCCCACCATGGGTCCCACTTCTTTGCCATACACCATACATAAGCCTCTACCATACTTCGCCCCCAACTCCTGCTATCTATTCACTTGCGAAACCAATTGCCGTCCCATCCATACTATGGGTAAATCCCATCCAAACCCCAGAAATTCCCCTCCACTGGGGGGCTCGAGAACATGGTGGGCACGTTCAGGCTCTTTGCTGGGATGGGGTATGCGAAGGGGATGAGCGGTCACATATCTGTGCAGGTTCCGGAGGATCTCAGTGCTTTTAAAACTAATCTGTTGGCTACACTCTACCCGGGGTACTCGCGGCGACTTATGATGACTTGACTAAGGAAGCACTTTTCCATTTCGTAAAGCTGGGGACATGATGCCGATGGACGGTGCGGCGGTCGGCGGGAATAAAGTACCGGTAATTCAACCCCCTCCGCCCTCCCTAATTCTATTATACGAAACAAACAAATAGCTAACTGCTTGTTTCTTCTTCTTTTTTTTTTCAAAAAAAGAAAAAGCAGGAATTAGCTAGGCAAAGATGCCGGCCTCCCGATCTGCTCCTCAGCGCACCGCGCAAGACCCCGAGGTCTATACGGCCCGCCGCACCCAGTCGGCATTCGGTCGTCCATTGGAAGTGCTAAACCGGGACGTGTGCATCTTCCACATCCCGGCGCACGTTGCCTACGACGGTATTGGCAGCGTGGTGCGTTCGCACAACGAGGCGATACACTCGCTGCTGACGGGACGGTAGATGAGGCGGCGTATTTTTCACGCTTATAAAGAGAACTGTGGGGTTCAGTCGCTCGTTGAAGCGATGGCGGTAGCCGCGTTGGGGGAGAGAAGGGGATCACTGGGGAGGTGAAGGCAGAACGCTGGGATGCTTTTGGATGGCAGGTGACCTGGTATCATAAGTGTTCGTGTTCTCGTGATAGCTTCCCTTTTTTAGTCTCTTTATTGGAGCTGATTGCGGATGATTTAGGAAACTTTATATCGCGGGGTCCAACCGGATTATGTATTTGAGGTGGAGATGACGGGCGGGGCTGTTAGAGAGACGTGATGTCTCCGTATGCAGCAGAGCGGGGTCACCTAATTTGGTCCACGTTGTTGTAGGGTACGTAGTTTTTCTCATGGATGAGGTAGTGTCAATGATTACAGATACCGTCGGCAGAAAGAGCCTTTTGAACTCATACCCATCAATGGTAGCGTATATATATATACCGAGTAACTCTCTCAAGGGTCATCTCCTATCAGCTATCATATCATACCAATTCCCCGCCATAACCCTTCCTAACCCCTAACACATCAAATATCGTTGATAAAAAAATGGCACCAAGAGGCGGAGGACGAGGTGGAGGAGGTGGTGGGGGTGGAGGAGGTAGAGCCCGTTCATCCTTCGGGGGATCGGGCTCATCCGCACCACGCCCAGCAGCGTATTACCCTCACAATCCACCCATTGACATACTGAACTAACCAATTCTCCCCCCCGCTTCACGAAATTTAGTAAACCTGCACCCGCACCCGCACCACCACCCCCAACTGTTGGTGGGGGGTCCGGCGGGGGATCTGGCAGCAACCTTGGAGCCTCGGTTGCCGCCGGGGCCGCCAGCGGCATGGCAGCCGGCATAGCGGGCGGACTGGTGGGCGGAGCAATGAGCGGAGCGTTGGGCTCATCCGGAGCCAGCCACCACAACGGCCAAGGTAACAATGGCGGGAACGAAACTATGTCGTCGCTCGCAATGCCGAGTCCTGTGTGTAATGTAGGAAATGTGGCGTTTTGGCTGGTTGTTTTCTGGGTTGTGTTTGGGTATTGGAGGTGACTAGAAGCATGGGAGGAGTGGATGGAGGAGTTCGTTCGGGATGATGGTTGTGAGGAGGAGAGATGGGTGCATATGAACGTTTAGGCTTGGAGATGGATTTCATGTTTTTGTTGGTGTCGGGGGGGGGGGGGTAGGTCTGCTGTACCAGTACTCGTACTGGCATAGTATGTACCTGCATCTCTCGGCTGATGTTATTCGAGGGGCTTTTAGGTACGATATTATGTTGTTGTTATAGCTGAAGGTGCTTCTACTATGGTAGTACCGATATATGGGAGACCGTGACAGGGAATACACGCACTTATTGATGCGGGGATGTATCGATACCGTACGAGTACGGTAGACTGCGGTGCTGTGCATAGGATACTGGATTATAGTTGGACATGGGGAAGTTGAATCGAAGTGGTTGAACCTGTCTTTTTCGGTTACTGATACCGCACTGGCTTGTTTACTGGAGACAACAAGTTTCCAGTTTTGTTGCCCGGGGGATGTAGAATACGTCACTGTCAACAAACCAGCGCAGCAACTTCTTCTCCCTTTGCCCACCATCACCCCCATCTCATCCCGCCTCCTGTCAA